GGGCGGGAGGGAAGCTCCGCGGTTGGTTGCGCACGCAGGGCTCTGCGAGGCGCGTGACGTCCGAGCAGGCGGGGTCCTCCGCGGCGCAGGTGAGGAGACTGAGGCAGGGCCGGCGGCAGTGCGCGGCAGACTGGACGCCGGGTTGTGAGCCCGCCCGGCGCCGCCGCTGCGTCCGCCGCAGCGCACCGCAGTCGGGCTCAGAAGACCCAGGCCGGGACTGAGCGTTGATGTGACGGGCGAAGAGCCCCCTTCTTCCTGGCCCCCCGACCTGCCTGAGTAGTTGGGACAAAGAACCGAGAAAAAGGCGGGCTGAGCCCCGGGGGTGGCGAGCGGACCAGCCCGAGGTGAGAGCCTAAAGGACGTGGCCGTCCTCGACTGTGATCGCAGGGTCTGTGTTTAATGAGGCACCTGTGTCCCCTCTTCCCCCAAAGGCTACAGACTCCTGGCTTAAAATTGGGAAGAGCCCATGTGTGAATTTCGTGTCCTGAGGTCTGGCAATGAAAAGGTTTAGAATAAGGCACCAATCGAACCATAGACCCACGGCGTTGTCGCAGGGTCAGGAAGGCGAAGGAGATGGTGGACATGGTTAGAGGCAAGGGAAGGGAAGTTAAGGCACAGCCTGGCACGGACTGTGGGGAGGGAGCACCGCTGGGGAGTCTAGAAGCTGGGCTGGGGTTCCAGTCCAGCTGATTCTGTGCCTCTTTTCCTTACCACCCAATGCTGTTTCCGCAGCCCGATTACCTAGACCTCAACTTAGTTTTTGATTTTAATGTATTTTCTTTTGAGCCTGGCGGATGATTTTTAAAAAGAAAATAATTACTTAGGATTTATTTTGAAAAGCATTGTCATGGAGCCATCTTAGATAGTCTTGGATGCTCCTGCTTTGGCCCAGCCCTGGAGACTGAGAATTGGGATTCTGGCTGCAAACCCTGACTCCTTAGAAGATACTCATTCATCAGAAAACGCTCCATTCTCTGCACAAATAACGTTTTGGGGTAATCACTGAATAATCTAGGAATGAGTAAAAGTTATATTTATGGCACTCCTTGTCAGATGGCTTACAAAGCACCTCTTACACATTTAATCCTTTGATTCTTACAGCTGTGTAGAAGGTAATACAGGAATCATTCCCCTTTTACAGATGCAAAGCAGTGCCATGTCCACGTTCATACAACTTGTAGGAATTAGAGTTAGATCTTAGTTATTCTTGGTCTGGCCTTTCCCATGTTCCCTTCCTTTGTAAGGGCATACCATTTAGTTGAGACCTTATGCATTGCTCCTGAAGGGGTACAAAAGACATCTCTGATGACTGTCTCATCAGCTTGTGTCATATAAAGGGTGTTCCCAGAAAGCTCAGTTAGAACTGGAATTCTAGGGCTCCAAGCCCTAGGCTTTGTTAGTATCTCAGAAATAAAAGCAGCTCTCCTGCCAGCTGGACACTTGGTTCTTTGTGAAATGTTGAGCAGAGACTCCAAGTCTCCCTCTGCTGAGGCTAGTGTGGCAAGAATTGCCCAGAGGTGTTGCAGAGGGAACCGGCCTCACCTTTGAGCTCAGTGGCCTCTGGCACAGGGAGATTTCAACTGGGCAGTGCTCTTTGCCTTCTCTGGCGCTGCCAGTGCAGAAGCAGTGTTGGGCTGCTACGGGAGTAGCATGGAGTGTGTGTAGTGGAGTTGGCAGACAGGCCAGAGGGGATGAGACAAGCCAGGGTTTCCCCACTCTGGCGCTGCCAGTGCAGAAGCAGTGTTGGGCTGCTACGGGAGTAGCATGGAGTGTGTGTGGTGGAGTTGGCAGACAGGCCAGAGGGGATGAGACAAGCCAGGGTTCCCCCCTAGCATGGAGTGTGTGTAGTGGAGTTGGCAGACAGGCCAGAGGGGATGAGACAAGCCAGGGTTTCCCCAAGACCTAGGGTTTCCACCAAGAAGGTCTGCAGTGACACAGCTGGAAAAGTTGAGTGTTTTGTGTCTGTCCTGCTCTCATAGGAGGATGAGTGAATCTGAGCCCTGCAAAGAGAAAGATAATGCTGTCTTACAGTTCTCTCGTGTGGTACTGTGTTTCACATTGGTCTTCTCATATATTCTTTATAACAACCCTTCAAAGTGTCCTGTTTTTAAGAAGACACTGAGGTTCAGAGGGACAAGGTGACCTCTCAAAGTGTGAGAACCCATGATTTTTGTCTTTCGGCCTATTGCCTTTTGTGGTATTGCCCTTGCCTTTCTTCTGTCCACACCTGTATAACTTGATAGAGCAGGTGTTCTGAGCCCAGACAGGAGGCTGTGCAAGTCGGGAGCAGGATGGCTAGATCTTTTGGAGGCCTCTGCAGCTTCAGGACCACTTAGAGGAAAAGACCTCTCTCAGCCCCAACATTCCTCACCCTCAGCAGCGTCTCAAAATTTCCCAGTTGCTGATTGTGTCCTCTTGTTCTGCTTTCAGCATCTGTTCAGAACTTTGAGTCTGGCATCTGAGAGGAGGGCTGGGCCAGAGCCAGGCAGACAGTCAGTGCAAGAAGTAGAGTTGAGAGTTGGAAACTGAGGCAAGTAGGTGAGAGCTGGTTGCAAGTGGCTAGTTCCGTGGTACTTAAAGACAAGAGTGGGTGGCAGGGCATCTGCTGTTGCTCATGGGGCCCTGGGTGCCCATATCATCAGAATGTTAACGGGTGTTTTCAGGTTGTCTCTTTATCATCCAGAATTGACAGGGCCTTGTTACTATGGGGAGGAGAGGTGCAGAATGGCTTCTCAGCTGAGAATGGGCAATGTGACCCTTAAAAAAACATTTGACTTTGGTTTCTAAGCTGCTTGCCAAGGATTGGGCTTGGGAAAAGCTGGTGTTCTCTGGATTTGCCAGGCCCTTGTGTGTTACTCCCATCTAGGCACCAGATTTCCCAGGCCCTGTTCAGGAGCAGTCTTACTCTCAGCTAGGTTGAGGCCAAAAAGCAGGCTTGAGGACCTGCAGGACAGCCCTTCCTGTGCTCTGATCTTCACACTGTTCCTTAAAGGCCACCGGCCTGTAGCTGGCTGCCTGGGACCTGGGGTATCCTATGCAGGATAAACAGTCATGGACTGGAATTGGGAGACTCAGAGCTGAGTTCCAGCATAGCCACTGACAACCTGCCCTGCCCATGCGAACTTGGACTAGCCAGCCCCTTATCTGAGCCTTAGTTTCCTTATTTATTCCGCAAAGGAAGAGCTGAACTAGAGCTCTTAGGGAAGGAGAGGGAACAGAGGAGAGCAGAGAAGGAACATGAAACATTCTTTCCAGCCTTGTTCACTGGGGGCCCGAGGCAAAGAGGCCCATGTGCACTCCTAGTTTCCTTTGTCTCCTTCAGCACCCCTTTCTTACTTCTCCCCTGCCTCTGCCTCAGGCCAGCTCATTCTGAGGAGGGAGGATTCCCTGGGCAGGGCTGGGCTGGGCAGGTGTACCCTTGATGTTTAGAATACATGCTGTCTCTACTTGTTTCAGGCATTAATTAAGCCACCCAGTGCTGATACTGTGTTTTATTATGACTTTATCAGTTCTTGCCAAAAGGCAGTTCCTTGAACAAGCAGGAGTCAGGCCTGGGGAAGGAGGAAGTGAGAATGTGCGCACCCAGCAGGAGAGCAGTGTTGGCAGGCGCGCAAGTGGCTTTCTGGACATCAGATCCCTGTAGTTGCAGTCACATGGTGCTTTAGGGTCTTTGGATGTCAGAGCTGAGACGACCTCATAGAATTTCTAGTTTCTTCCTCTGTCTACACCGATGAGGAGACCCAGGCCCAGTGTGTCTTCATAGCGTATGTCAGATGGCCCTGCCAGTGGGCAGTGGAGCTAGGACCCAACCTAAGGTCACCTAAGCCCCAAGCTTCAGTGTTGTCTTTAACATCAAGCCAGCCCTGTCTAAAATTACCTTTTGTACTGAGCTGAGATTGGGTAGCTGTAAGTTAGTTCCAACTCTGCGTCACTGTGGAGTTTAAAGAGTAAAATTTGGATCACTTCATTAGACATGTAATGCATACTAATTACCAGGGGATGTTAAGTGTTGGGGATGCAGGAATGAATAAGACAACAGCCCCTGTCCTCAGATTGTGCCACTATATAGTGGACACAGACAAGTAAAAGTTCATTTGTGCAGTGTGCAGAGTTGTGTGTGTGTGCACACCTACAGGCACACTATATTATCAAAGGTGAGGGAGGACTCAGTTGTTGAGAGTTTCAGGAAAGGCCTTGGAGAGAAAGTGTTATTTGTGCTGGGCCTTATAAATAAGGCCTTATAAATAAGTAGGCATTTACCTAGTTGGCGTGGGTAGGGAGGGCATTCTGGGGAAAGGAAACATGAGCACCAGTGCAGCCTTGCACATGGAGTGGTCTGGTGAGGGTGCTGTAGTGGCAGGGGAAAAGGCCAGAACGGAGGGCTGAAACTAAGCTGTGGAGGACCCTGTGCTAAGGAGTTCATTGTTAGTGAGAGTCTGAAAGCAAGGCAAGGATGTGGGCAGGTTGGGATGTGTTAGGATCACTCTGGCTGCAACACGGAGACAACTGTAGAGCACCAGACTAGAGCCAAACCAAGCTTGGTTCTGTGGTTTTACAGTATGCTAGGCACAAGATAGTAGGGGCCTGGACTTGGACAGTAGCAGTGAGGTTGAGAAGAGGATGAGTAGCAGACATGTTTCATAAGATGGACAGAACTTCCTGACTGATTAGGTGTGGGCAACGAGGGCAAAAAGGGTTAAATGGGACTCCAGTTTCTGGCCTGAGCAGTTGGCTGGATGCTTGTGTCATTCACTTAGCTAGAGAACTCTGGAAAAGAAATTTAGAGGTCAGTTTTGGACATGGTGCAACAGGGATGAACACCTACAAAACTCCCATGTGGAAACGTTAAGTCAGGAACAGCTTTAGGGACTTGGAGGTCAATACCAATGTGGTGGACGAAGTATAAGAAGTAGGTGAGGTCCCCCAGGAAGGGAGTGTGGGTTGAGAAAAGCCGCTTAAGTAGCAGAAAAAGAAGGGGAAGCAAAGAGAGGTAAAGAATAGACGGGAGGTGAGGGTACCACCTGGGCATGGGGTGAGGAACAGGCAAGGGAGCAGGCTGCACAAGGAGCTGTGGAGAAAGGGACATCTTCCTTTCATTTCTGTGAGTGTGACATGTGGGCTGTGTTAAGGGCTTCGCTTCATTTGTCTGCACCGGATAGCAGAGAGGGAGTCTGTTGGCACTGGGGAAATGTTATAGTCTGCACGGCTGCGAATGACTCAAAACTTTGCTCAGCTTTTTGAAGGACTAAGGGGCTTCTGTGAGTGTGACATGTGGGCTGTGTTAAGGGCTTCGCTTCATTTGTCTGCACCGGATAGCAAAGAGGGAGTCTGTTGGCACTGGGGAAATGTTATAGTCTGCACGGCTGCGAATGACTCAAAACTTTGCTCAACTTTTTGAAGGACTAAGGGGCTATGGCCCCTCTCCATTTGATGTTTTCTGGAGATTGACTGTTGGCAGCTGAACGAGCCCCAGGGTTTGTGGGTGGCCTGGTCCTGCCTCTGGAGTGACTGAGCTTAGGGGCGTAGGCGGGACTCTGGAGCCCCACCTCCCGCCCTCCCCACCGCCTGCTCACACGCCGTGGTCGGCCTCTTGTCAGCAGAAGCAGGGCTGTGGATGCTGTGGATGGTGAGTGTCCTGTTCCCAGGTTTGAACTGCCTGAGGCTGGCGATAAGGGGCCTTGTGTTAGGGAAGAGACAGGGTCTCAAAGCTGGGAAAAGGGGCCGGCCAGGTGGCGCACTGCTACAGTGCGCCGCTTGGGAAGCGTGGCGGCTCTCCCGCCGAGGGTTGGGATCCCACATTAGGACCGGCCTCTCACTGGCTGAGCAAGGTGCGGGGGCAACACCGAGGGTTGCAATCCCGTTGCCGGCCCCGGTCCGGTACGGGCGCAACACTGAGGGTTGCGATCCGTTGCCGGTCACGAAAAAAAGACAAAAAGGAAAAAAAAAAAAAAAAGCTGGGAACAGATGGGCAAGGTCATGGTGGGGGGTTCAGATGAGGAACCAAGAATGCTTGGATCCCAAAGTGAGCTGTTTTTGTTAGACTCATAGAATGTCAGTGGGGAGGTTTACACACGCCGTGGTCGGCCTCTTGTCAGCAGAAGCAGGGCTGTGGATGCTGTGGATGGTGAGTGTCCTGTTCCCAGGTTTGAACTGCCTGAGGCTGGCGATAAGGGGCCTTGTGTTAGGGAAGAGACAGGGTCTCAAAGCTGGGAACAGATGGGCAAGGTCATGGGTGGGGGGTTCAGATGAGGAACCAAGAATGCTTGGATCCCAAAGTGAGCTGTTTTTGTTAGACTCATAGAATGTCAGTGGGGAGGTTTTAGAGTTGAGTCTGCGATTAGGTGGGCTAAGGTCTGGCTGGGCAACAAACACTCAGGCCTATCCCCAGTGATCTAAGCACACAGAATCAGGCAAGTACTTAGGGAGGAAACGACCAGGATAAGTCAGATCTTAGCATGGCCTGAGCTCAGGCCAAATGGGAGGATAATATTATAAGTGGTTGTCAGGAGAAGGAAGGCTGGGTAGGGTACCTGCTGCTGTTACAGGGTGGGCTGCTTCCAGGATTTCCCACCCAGGGGCACAGGCTTTCCAGCTGGAGGAGGCCTTAGTGAGGCACCCCTGACAAACTGTGGACAAGGCTGAATTCTGACAAGACCCCCCTGGAACTCTGTTTCAATTGCAGAGTCCCCTACCCTATGCAGACATCTTTTGCCCGGCCCCCTCTGAAGCAGACACCGCAGCACCTTGCTCTTTCTGGCATAAGGCCTACACTCTGTGTGTCTACTCCCACTCATTCAGCGGTTCTGTTCAAAGGAGAAAAAATGTCACATTATATGCTCGGTGGTAGGCTTCAGAGGATATTTGCTTTTTTATTACTAGAATCTAGTAATGTGTAACTTTGCCACATAAAAGAATTGGAAGCAGGCCTGTGGACAGTTATTTCCTGCTTGGTCCAAGATCTTCTATCGTCCATAAGTCTTCATCACTGAATTTTACTAAATTCATTTCAACACATGTTTGTAGTGAGCCCACTGTGTACCAAACATGCACTGTGCTGGGCGTAGAGTTAAAGGAGAAAAATCAGACAGGTTTGGATCAGTGTGTCAGGCACATCAGAAGGATGGATCACGGGTGTGGTTTGGGCACATGACTAAGGAGGGGGTGAATAAACATCTTTTGCTGGTGGGACTGGGTGATGGGCAGAACAGCTAGGAAAGCTTCTTAAGGAGGCATCTGAGTCTTGAAAAATAAAGCAAGGTAGGACATTCCAGGCGAGGTGTTTGTCACTGTGACTGTCGCTACCCTCCCACACTAGCTTGGGGGAGCAGAAGCTGGGGCTGATGGGGACCCAGCTCTCCAAGGCCAGCCTGCCCTCGTGGTGGTACTTTGTATTGTGGCTTATGGCCAACCCAAGCACAAAGGCCTGAATTCTTTGCTTTAAGGCAGTGCTTCTCAGACTCTTATGGGCTTATGAGTGGCCTGCCACTCTGACTAAATGCGCTTTATGATTCCCTAGTTCTGAGGTGGGGCGTGAGACTGCATTTCTAGATGATGCCAGTGCTACCAGTCTACTGACCACATTTTTAGTAGTGAGGTTTTAAGAAACTTCTCTTTCAGCTTGAGTCCCTCCCATCACAGATACCATAGCAGCACTCCTTCCCCCAATACACACATACAGCAACGACCTCTTCTTTTTTCCTTTTCCCACGTACATAGATGCCAAATTCGTCTTTCTTAAACGCCTTTCCATTTGGTCTCCCTCTTGCCTAGAAGTTCCCTTTTATTTCTTAATTCACATCTGAACTTCTCTGGCTGGTTTCAGAGCTAGTCTGGGCTATCCTTCCCTTCGCCAAGCTGTCACCCCTGTCATTCCCACCCCCACTTCACTGCAGTGCAACCCTCACAACCCCCGCCCTCCCTTGGCAGTGACATGTGGATTTCCAGGCCTTTGCTTGATCCTTTGGGGAAATCTATTCCCGTCCAAGTTCTACAGGGGAGAGTTGAGTCTGCGATTAGGTGGGCTAAGGTCTGGCTGGGCAACAAACACTCAGGCCTATCCCCAGTGATCTAAGCACACAGAATCAGGCAAGTACTTAGGGAGGAAACGACCAGGATAAGTCAGATCTTAGCATGGCCTGAGCTCAGGCCAAATGGGAGGATAATATTATAAGTGGTTGTCAGGAGAAGGAAGGCTGGGTAGGGTACCTGCTGCTGTTACAGGGTGGGCTGCTTCCAGGATTTCCCACCCAGGGGCACAGGCTTTCCAGCTGGAGGAGGCCTTAGTGAGGCACCCCTGACAAACTGTGGACAAGGCTGAATTCTGACAAGACTCCCCTGGAACTCTGTTTCAATTGCAGAGTCCCCTACCCTATGCAGACATCTTTTGCCCGGCCCCCTCTGAAGCAGACACCGCAGCATCTTGCTCTTTCTGGCATAAGGCCTACACTCTGTGTGTCTACTCCCACTCATTCAGCGGTTCTGTTCAAAGGAGAAAAAATGTCACATTATATGCTCGGTGGTAGGCTTCAGAGGATATTTGCTTTTTTATTGACTCTGACTTTATGTATTGCCTCTTTTTGTTTTGCTCTTTGTTTGTTTTGTTTATACCATGAGCCTATTTTGTTTCTGTAATGATAAAAAATAAAGCTATTCTCAGTTGGGAAAATTTTACTGAGATTGACTGCCTAGCATGAGTGAGCCCCTGCTGGGTGCCAGTTGGTGGCTTGATGAATAGAATAGGTCCCTGTTTCTGGGGGATTCTCAAACTAAAGAGGAAGAAAGACAGGGTAACAAAGCAGTGTGATCTGTGTTCTAAGTATCCTCTCATCACAGAAGAGAAAGGTGCCCCTACCCAGGGAGGCAGTAGTTGAGCTGCTTGGATTGTAAAGGAGAATCAGGCAATGATGAGGACGGAGATCAGGAAGTAATGTGCCGCCAGGGGACACAGCATGGCAGAGCACCACAACCTGGGGCATGAGGAGAGAGAACAGCCAGAGAAGCACCTGAGAAGTCTGTCATCACTCATGACTCACTGGTGAGCTCCTTCGGGCAGGAGCCTCCACGTATATGTGTAGCAGCAGGTGCTTAGTAGCTCTTGCCCAGGCTCTGACGCAGCTGCTTCCCCTCCCCTGGCCTCCTGGCCGGCTGCCCTGCCAGAGCCTTGCACGGGAGATCAGATTCCAGCTATTCTGTGGGAGCAGTAACCTCTTCCTTCCTCTCAATCTCCAGAAATGTCTTTCCTCCAGGACCCAGGTTTCTTCACCATGGGGATGTGGTCCATTGGTGCGGGAGCCCTGGGGGCTGCTGCCTTGGCACTGCTCCTGGCCAACACAGACGTGTTTCTGTCCAAGCCCCAGAAGGCAGCACTGGCGTATCTGGAGGATATAGACCTGAAAACACTGGAGAAAGGTAAGCAGTGACCCCACCAGTCTCAGTACTTTTCGGAGGCACTGAGACGCAGGCTTTTTGGTTTTTTTTTTTTCGCTCAACTGGGTAAGCAGTGACCCCACCAGTCTCAGTACTTTTCGGAGGCACTGAGACGCAGGCTTTTTGTTTTTTTTTTTTCGCTCAACTTTTTTTTTATTGTAAAGGCAATATAACATTAGGAAAAATGTAATAGCACTTCTTAAATTACCAATAATTTCATTACCCTAACGCAACAATCATTTTTATTTTAGCATATTTCTTTCCATGTGCACATATTATTATATAGTTGTAATCTTGGTGTCAGTTGTATTTTACATTTTAACTTTTACTTATCAAAAGCATCTTTCACTCTCTATTGTTTCTCTGACTATAATGATAAATTGCTCCGTAATATTTAGTATTATTGTACCATCATTTACTAAACCAGCCCTTCCAGAGTGTGTTTCGAAGAATTCCAGGCTTGTGGGATCTTCACCAAAAAAATATTTCCTGAGTCAAATAAGTATGAGGGACACTGTTTATCCAATTTCATGTTCCTGATGCCCAGCCCAGTCTTGGGCTTATTAAAATGACATGTCTGGATTGCTACTGATTTGACCATGTTCAGCCTCTACCTGTGATGAAGCTACAGCATATGGGAAGCTCTTCAAGGTCACACTTTAGAACAGACCTGCTTGTCTACCTCTTCTTGGGGACCCACTTAGAGTACATCATGGAAAGTTGAGAGCCACACACTCAATCATGGTAGCTCTGCCACTTGGCTATGTGTTCTCAGTGTTAGCGTTGTAGCTTAGTAAGATTTCTACTGATAGGGTGGCAGGAGCGTTCGAATGGTGAAAGTTGGGGCTCACTGACTGTGTGTTATCCAGATTAGCCTCCCAGATGGAAGCCATCATCTGTTCAGTAAGTGAAGAAGCTTGTCAAAGGAAGGCAGGAGATGTGACTACAGATTCATGGTAGGCCAGTTTAGTAAGGGACTAAGAAGTCCTGCAGAGAGAGACCTGTTAAGCTTTGTTCAACCCAGGGTTTCCCAGCCTCATTCGATTACAGACTCCCCCCTCCCCCTTTTTTTAATTTTTAAATTTTTTTCACATAACGTCCTGCAGGAACATGAATCCCTCTGGGAAATACTAAAATAATAAGGGTTTATACTAATTGACCTTTCACTAATTCTGTATTATCAAACACTGGTGAGCACTTTTATATTCGTCTTTTAATACTCGCTGCAGCCCAAAGTGGAGCTAGATATCTAGATATCTGCATTTGACAAATGAGGAAGCAGAGGTCCAAAGAGGAAAAATTGCTTGCCCAGGATCACACAGCTAGATTCAAAGTCAGTCTGACCTTAGAACCAGGCTTGAACTGCAGTTCTCTACTACTACAAAGCATTTCCTTGTTAGTAATGGTCTACCTTCTCTATTAATAATATTGCAGTTAACATTTTGGGGTTACATTTTTTTTTTACACTTCTGTTGACTTCATTCCTTTGAATATATTTTTAAGAGTGGGGGTTCTTTGATCAGAGTGGAAGACTTTTTCACTTTGGGACATGTTTCTGTCCTAAAGGATTATTACTATATGTGGTGATACCGGCAATAAAGTAAATTGCTATTTTCTAGAAATGTCCCAGTTTGGAATGTTTGAGTTTGAAAATAGATTTTTATAAGAGAGGGAAATTTGGGTTATACAATAGGATCCTTAAGCTTTATTAACTTTCCTCAAGAAGATGAATACCATCTGTCTGTTTCCTATTTGCCTTTTCCCACTTGTGAAATACCTGTCCAGGTCCTCTGCTAGGCCCAGTTTCCAACGTCAGCTTGGCTTACTGTAGTTCACAAGTTGCTTAGGAGTCGGAGCAGGGCTGATCTGAGCTGGGCTGGGCTAGGCTGAACTGGACTGAGCTGTGAGAAGATACTGAATTTCCTTTTCTTTTCCCTCAGAACCAAGGACTTTCAAAGCAAAGGAGCTATGGGAAAAGAATGGAGCTGTGATTATGGCTGTGCGGAGGCCAGGATGTTTCCTCTGTCGAGAGGTGAGTGAATTTGAGGATCTTTTCAGAGAAAAGGATCTTGGCAAGTGGGGGGCAGTGCATTTCCAACACTGGTCTGTCCTCTGTTATTTGCTCTTGGTAATTCTTTTGGCTTATGCTGTGTTTGTGTTTTTAACAACTCGCCATCTCCTACTGGGGTTAGCAGCACATCTGACTTTCCTTTGATGCTCCTAAGCCTTTCACCTAATGTTGTACCATCTGTATCCTGGACTGTCTTCCCATTTAATCGACGGCAGCAACCAGGTCCAATTTCATGCTCATGCTGCTCAGCACAGACATATGCTTATTGAAGTGAGGTGTCGTCTGGATTGCTACTGATTTGGTCATGGTCAGTCCCCATCTGTGATGAAGCTGCAGCATATGGGGAAGCTTTTCAAGGTTGTATTTTAGAACAGACCTGTCTGCCCCTTCTTGGAGACCTACCTGGAGTCCATCTTGGACAGCTGAGAGCCACACTCTTGATCACGGTAGCTCTGCCACCTTGCTGTGTGCTGTCAGCATTGGATCTGTAGTCCAGTGGGGTTCCAGTCATTCTGATAAGTTTGGGTGCATTTGGCATGAGAGCTTAGTAAAAGTTGGAGCTCACTGACTGGGTGGTCTCCAGGTTGACACCTTAAAAGGAAGCCGTCGTCATCTGTTCAGTGAGTGAGAAAGTATATCAAGGGAAGGCAGGAACTGTGAGTGTTAAAACAAAAATTGCTAGTGTCAGAGGGAACAATGCAGTTACTTGGGTCCAGCCTTGTCATTTTACGGACGGGTAAATGGAGGCCAAAGTGGTTTGGTGGCCTGTTTGTTGCCACACAGCCAGTTGGTGGCAGAAGACACATGTTACGAGATCATTGCCTTGCCTGGGAATAAACTAGGAATGGCAGTACTCCTGCTCTTGAGCCAACTTTGCTCCTAAAACAGTGGCCTTGGCCACTAAGTTGTCATCCTCATTCCTCTGGTTGCCCTCCCTGACCCTGAGGCACTTCCCTTCAGCCTTGCTGATCTCTGCCCTTCTTGTGTGGTTGTGCTGGTGAAGAGTCCACTTACATTGCGGGATGCATATGATGCCCTGTGGTGCCTTACCTTCAGGGCGCTTTTGTGCATCTTATCTCATTGGTTCTTTACCATAGCCCTTGAAAATACAGCTTATTGTTATTGTTCTCATTTTACAGAGGAGGAAACAAAGGTACAGAAGTTGTAACAAAGCCACACTGCTTGAAGAGGTGCATTAATTTTCTATTGCTGCTGTAACAGATTGCCACAAACTCTGTGGCTTTATATAACACTGTGCTCTAACCAACTGAGCTAACCAAACAGCCCTCAGTGGCTTTAAATAACACAAACAGTTCTGGAGGTCAGAATTCCAAAATGGAATCTGTTGCATTCTTTCTGGAGGTTGTAGGAGAGAATCCATTTCTTTGCCTTTTCTGGCTTGTAGAGACGACCCATATTCACTGACTTCTCTGCCTCCCTCTTTTACATTTAAGGACCCTTGTGATTATATTGGGCCCACCCAGATAACCCAGGGTAATCTCCTTATTTTCTGGTCAGTTGTTTAGCAACCTAAATTTCTTCACAGCCTCAATTCCACTTTGCCATATAAGATCACATATTCACAGGTTCCACAAATTAGGACATGGACACGTTGAGAGCTTATTATTTCTCCCACCTACCACAGAAGGTGGAGTTTAAACTCAGGGTTTTTGGTTCCAAATGTGCGATGATTCCAAACACCAACATGGAAGCCTATTGACTTGATTTCTCAAAGACAGTAAAACCCAGCAGCTCTCCCTGTTTTATTATAACCTGTTTTCCTCTGCACAGGTCTGTGTCCTGACAGAGCATTTTGTTGCTTTGCCCCCCATGGATTTGTCACCCCACTTCCCCTGGGTGATGGAGCCGCAAAGGATTACTCAAAGCCCATCTCTTCTGAGCAGTGAGAAGCACCCAAATGGTTAATCTCCCCCAGAACCCTCAAGTGAGAGGCATTCCTTCCTTGGGAAATTAACCCCGAATTAGGGTTCTCTTCCTGCATTTATTCTCCAGCACCGGAAGTAACAGGAAGAGACATAGTTTCAACAAGTTTAACAACAGAAGCTGCTAACATTCAGTAAAAACAAGTCAGATGACGTTCTCTTAGACAATTAAGTGATCCACCAAGAAAAGCTTGATGTAGCAAACGTTCCTTCTCCCTCCAGCAGCTTCTCAGTAACTTTACATATCAATCAGTAACTAGTCTGTCTTTGAGCCAGCAGCCTCACTGTGTTACAGTTCATTATTTTACACCAGAGACTTTATAGCCTCAGGAAAATTTCCTGTCCTTTGCAAGGTCAATATTTGAAACTGCAAGGCTTTGGAAAACCAGGCCCTGTGAAGTACATTTGCTTAATGAATCCTCTACATCTTCCCCCATTTTATTTATTTAAAAGAAAAAGCAAAAGCTATAGATCAGGTTGGCACAGTTAAGACAAAAGCATTTAAAGCAAAGTTGGTATCATTTAGCATGGCAAGTCCTTTTAATTTACTTCAAGTGAGAACTGATGGTGTCATCATCTCTCAGGGTAGCTGCAGAGGCATCATTCCAAGTGCTTTGCGTTGGGTATAATTACCAACTGTTGAAACTCTGGAAAGGGATTCTGCTCCCTATAATAGTTGATTCTGAGTCCAGAGAGTTTGTTAATGTTAAACTGTCCAGGACATTACTGCTTTCAGAGTGTCTAGCCTTTTGTAAAATTTTTGATCAATTACAAGTCTTTCGTTTAAGAACAGGATGTCTCATCCAAGTTACAAACACCCTCTTTAAGTCCAGGAAAGTTTAGAGAACTGCTTTTGTAGAGAAGACGTTATTTCCCCCTTTATGATCAAGGCATTCCTCATAAAAGCATTGATGATCAATATCTTGATTGAAAAGGTCTTACTTTTCTTTGTATAAATCCCACGCTGCTGGGAAGGCTCATCCCCAGGTGGTGATCTGTCCCACATAGGTTGGGGGGAAGATGAACAGCAAGATGAAGCAGCAGTTAGGCCAAATTAAGGCAACATGAAAGAGGTCAGCACTTAGAAGTGAGACATGCTATCTTATATCCAAAGTTCTAAATTATATCCTGTTATAAGGAGAGCGAGTTAATTTTCATTGAATTTATAAAAATAGCCATATTGCCATAATAATCATAAGGATACTTAAAGTTATTAAATTTGGGGGGGATTAAATAGGGAGAAAACAAATACTTTTATCTCTGTTTTAAATGATATTTTACCAAACTGTTGTTAGTTATAGATAGCTTAAGAGAGAGAGAGAGTTTTTTTTAATTTGGAAAACAAAACATTGAGAGAACCAGCAGTGTTGTAAAATAAGGAAATTGTAAAAACCCGTAATTCTTTTTAATTAGTTCACTAATTAACTTTTGTTGTTTTGACATTTGTGAACAATTTCACAAACCCATCAGTTTCTTCATTAGAATTTTGGAACTTTAGGTTAAAGCTATGAACTCAACGTTTATCAGGAAACTGTACCTATCAGAGTTTTTTCATGAAATATTTGAAGACATAACATTTTAAAATTATAATTGAACGAAGATTATGACTGGTAGCATTTACATCAAGACATAGATATTTAAGAACCTTACAAGATTTTGGAACACATATCCATAACACCTTCAGTACTGACAGTGCTTTCCCATATAGTCTAATTTATTTAATAAGCCAATTAGATGTGATACATTTTTAATATATCCTTTGAGAAACTCCAGGGCCCTTGGAAATCGTCTTTAGTTTTGGAAAGCTTTGTCAAGTAACAAAAGGCTTAAAATACTTAGCTGAATAAAATCACAAATTATTACAAAAAGTAAAACCAAAGTGACAGAGGGTTTCAAAGGCAGAGAGCGCAAGAAATTATCATGAAATAAGTTTCTTAAACCAGTTATCTAAGGGACAAAGAAAGCCTTTTACAATTTTGTATTAAGAGTAGTCAAATGAAAAGACCTCTAGTAATCCTGTTTGATTAGTAAACCCAGGCAATGATGTGTGCTGATAAGAACCATTTTTATACATTCAGGTTAGTAAATATGCGTCCATTTATCAGAGCAAATTATACAAAGTGCAATTTGAGTTTTAGCTATATTTACCAAATACATATTTACGGTTTCCAAGCCAAAAACTTGGTGTATTAAATCTATACCCTTATCAGTTAATGCTAACTAGGGCCTGTGCGATATTTGGCATAGGTTTCCTTTCACTAGCAATTTTAGGTCCCAGGTTTTCATGTGGCATTTGGAGCCATGTGGAGCTTAAGACAGAAGGCAGTATATACATAAAAGATATTGTTTCTCTCAGCATGGCCAGGAGGCAGAGCTGAGATAACAAGGAGACATTGACCTAGAGACAAATTGAGGCAGAGCTGAGATAACAAGGAGACATTGACCTAGAGACAAACTTAGGTAAAAGGTTTAAATCAAATTTTGAAAATATATTTATCAAAACTTTAGAGGATTTAAGCCACATGAACTTGAAAAGTATACTTATTTATTTAATGAGAATGCATTAATTATAAGCCAATTTGGTACCTTGCACATAAAATGATTACACATATAGACATGAACATATAGACATACAGGTTACACATGCATATATGCAGACATAAACAACAAGAGCAAACAAGAATCTTATAGGTTTTGTTCAAGATGTAGAAAAAGCTCACTAGTAAAAAAGGTCAGGTTTAGATTGTGTTTTTTCAAAAAGACTTATTAGTTAGTGGGCCGGCCTGTGGCTCACTCGGTAGAGTGCGGTGCTGATAACACCCATGCATATATGCAGACATAAACAGCAAGAAGAAATAAGGATCTTATAAGTTTTGTTTCAAATGTAATAGAAAAGCTCACTAGTTAAAAGGACAGTCAGGTTTAGATTGTGTTTTTTCAAAAAGACTTATTGGTGAGGCCTCACCCTGCCTTAAAGAAAGCAAGATAACAAATTTACATTGTAAAGCAAAGTACGCAAGCCTTTTCAAGAAGATGCAGAGAAGATTTTCTTCCTTTTTAGAAAATATAGAATTCTACCATAAGATTTTGTGAAGAAACACATAGATGAGACTAGGAGAGAATTTAGAAGTCTAAGATAACCAGTTTGAGACCATCTAATTAAAGAGGTAGATCTTAGTCTAGTTTTTGTTTCTCAAATGGGTTACTGAGCTCAAGAGCTGAGCCACCAATCAGAGATGAAACCATTTGACTCTTGAGGTTTTTAGAAGAGCAGTAGACCCAAAAGGGGTCAGGTTGGCGCCATGACTGCTTTTCCTCATAAAACTCCAGAGTCTTCAGAGAAAAAGAGTAGCAAATGCAATTAAGAAAAGAACCACTGCTTTTAAGAGAGGAGAGAAGCATTGTGCAGATAAGAAAGAAAAACATGCTCAAACAATACCAACACTGTAAAATATTAATTTCCTTTACTTTAGATTGTCCAACTTAAAGTTCTCTCAGTCACTGGCAAAGATCAAGTTTTATCCTTTTTTGGTGAAATAAACATGTCTTAGTTTTTTGTTAAGGTCTTGAATAGGTCTCAGAGCGACTTGACATAGATTCCTAGTTGTTAGTTGGGAAGCCTTAACGAGACCCATTGCATAATTAAGCAGTGACCAATTTGTTCCCAAATTTTTATGTTAAGGCTCCCTTCCTTGAGGTATCAAGGACATGGTTGTTTAATATCCACTAACAGTTTTACAAGCTGCCATTCAGTTACTTACAGCCTGCTGCTTTAAGGAGACATTGGAGTTGTAATGTATGTTCAGTCTCCCCTTTTGTTAACGAATTATCTATATTTTAAAAGTATAAAGAAGGAAAAAATACCTTTGGGGTTGAAAAGACCTAACTTTGACCTGCCGCAGGTGTGCAATCACTAATCAAAAGCCACCTGTGATTCCCTTACTGGGATGCATCTCCCTTATTAGGGACTCCCTTGCTGTTATGAATTGGACGTCCTTTTCCTCTTCAATGCTTGGCAGGTCAGTCTCTGATCTGTGGAGAACTTCCTCACACGGGGCACCATTTTGTTGCTTTGCCCCCACGGATTTGTCACCCTACTTCCCCTGGGTGATGGAGCCACAAAGGATTACTCAAAGCCCATCTTTTCTAAGCAGTGAGAAGCCCCGAAGTGGTTAATCTCTCCCAGAACCCTCAAGTGAGAGGCATCCCTTCCTTGGGAAATTAACCCCAATTGGGCTTCTCTTCCTGAATTTATTCTTTAGTCCAGGAAGTTACAGGAAGAGACATACTTTCAACAGGTTTAACAACAGAAGCTGCTAACATTCAGTAAAAACAAGTCAGATGACGTTCTCTTAGGCAATTAAGTGATCCACCAACAAAAGCTTGATGTAGCAAACATTCCTTCTCCCTCCAGCAGCTTCCCAGTAACTTTACATATCAATCAGTAACCAGTCTGTCTTTGAGCCAGCAACCTCAATTGTAACTGTGTTACAATTCTTTATTTTACACCAGAGACTTTATAGCCTGAGGAAAGTTTCCTGTCCTTTGCAAGGTCAATATTTGAAACTGCAAGGCTTTGGAAAACCAGGCCCTGTGAAGTACATTTGCTTTATGAATTCTCTACAGCATTTTGTAAAAACTGTGTTTGCAAAAGGATGGCAGTCTGTTTTGAGTGGCCCATGGAGGAGGTTTGTGACTCAGTTTCTACTTCATGGCTTTATACAGTGCCATACCCAGAGTAAAGAGCCCAGGAAAAGTGAGTAAAACCTTTCATCTCACAAACAGGTGGTCTTTGGCCATATCAGACACTGTTGTCCTCTCTACTCTAGGGCAAAATTTGCCAGTCACTGAAGCTCTTGATACAGAAGCTCGGATAATCAATACTGCTTCATTCTTGTTCTAGAAAATAAATGAAATTAAATGTAGTTGCTATCATAGCAGCAGTGTGCTTGTATTAGAGGCACATGGGCTACATTTAAAAGGATTTCCTGCTGAGGCTTTAATTCTGACACCAAATGTGAAAAAGGAATTTGTTCTTAATGTCAAAGCCTTACCATGACTCCTGCAGTTTTGTTTATTCATCCAGCACACGGTTCATGAGGGTCAAGGATGTCCGTACTTCTCATCTCAGCTGTATTCTCCCCATTGCCCACCTTCAAATCTTTCCACCTTATTTAGTATTTTCTGTATATCCAGCCATGTTACAGGCACCAAGGGAGTCAAGACATGGAGGACATGGTTTCTAACTATGAGACACATTTGGGAATTTAAGTGACAACACTCAATTTAGTGGTAACATGCAGACTCAGTACAGAAAAAGTCATCAGGAAGGGAAGATGAGCTGTACACAGAGAAGTGAGGCTTCACTCCAGGCTGGACTAGCCAGGGAGACCTTTTTAGAACAGGGACATCTTTCCAGAGGGTGGGATTTGAGCTGGAGAGAGAAGGAGGGGTATTGTAAGGAGGGGAGCCTACTGAGCAAACATACGGAGGGAGCCGTTCCCGTGGCCAGAGTGGAGGGTGTCTGATGGGCCCCTGTGCTAGTTTGGTCACGTGCAGGGGAGAGGCTGGGGAATGAGAGAGGAGAACAGCATCCTGGGTGGGAGTGGAGGGAATATTTGAGTGTAGTACTTTGGTTATGGCTGCTCCCAGGGTATGGTTTGGACACCAGTACCAGAAGCCTAGCCTCTCTTCCCACCATGGAAAAGACAAGGTTGGGCTGAGGAGGGGACCCGACACCCTATACTGAGGTCTATGCCCAGCTGGGTGGGACAAGAGTATGCTGGACCCCACAGGCCTGAATTGTTTCTGGCATTTTGTTGCCTCTGTTCCTTTATGTGCAGTGGGCACATAAGGAAGAGTTAGGTTGTTGGCTGCAGAGCTACAAGAGTTCATGTCCCTGAATCTCCATGTCTTCTGCAGGAGGCTGCAGACCTGTCCTCCCTGAAACCCAAGCTGGATGAGCTGGGTGTCCCCCTCTATGCGGTCGTGAAGGAGCAGATCAGGACTGAGGTGAAAGACTTCCAGCCTTATTTCAAAGGAGAAATCTTCCTGGATGAAAAGGTACACTTGGCTGTGAGCCTTTCAGACACAGACTGGTGGGGATTGTGCTCAGCTGTGGGGAATTCAGTGGCCCAGGGCATGTCTGGCCCGGAGCTGGAGGCTGGCCTTCCCTTCAGCTTCCCTGGGCTTGTAGGGACTTTCCCAGCCCCTATGTGATCAGACGTTTAAAAGCTGTCCCATCAGTTACACATGGTCCCCTACTTATGATGGTTTGACTTAAGATTTTTCCAACTTTACAATGGTGCAAAAGCAATGTACATTCAGCAGAAACCATACTTCGAGTACCCATACAACAATTGGTTTTCACTTTCAGTTTTCAATAAATTACATGAGATATGCAACACTTTATTATAAAATAGGCTTGTGTTACATGATTTTGCTCAACTATAGGCTAATGTAAGCATTCTGAGCACATTTAAGGTAGGCTAGGCTTAGCTATGATGTTTGGCAGATTAGGTGTATTAAATGCCCTTTTGACAAAATAATGATATTTTCAACTTAGGATGGATTTATTGGGACATAACCCATCGTAAGTCAAGCAGCATCTGTAATACTTAAGCCCTTCCTAAATAGTGACCCAGGAGGGTAGGAAACAGCTGAAACTCCATCAGGTTCCTCGCACCGTGCAGGCAGGGGCCCTATTACAGACCCCCCTCCCTTAATTCATCGCAGCTGTATCTCTTTCCCCTCTACTGCCACGTCTGCAGAATGCAGCACTTTTACCAACCTGTCACATGCAAGAACTAGTAAGAAGGTAGAGTCAGCATTGAAAGCTATGAATTTGTTTCCCTAGGTTGGGTTTGCCTTGGAGTTAGAGCCAGAACTGGCAGGTTCTGTTTCCTTGGACAGTTGTGAGTGGTCCTGGGTGGGAGCTGTGTGTGTTGGGCTGGGGAGAGGCCACTCACCAGCAGGCTTTGGGTCTGTGCCTGAGAACAAATGCCCTGTTAGGAACCTTTCCTCCTTGGGGAAGGCAGGCGTACAGGCTACTCATATGGAGTCTATCTTTTTCACTTCATAGAAGAAGTTTTATGGTCCCCAAAGACGGAAGATGATGTTTATGGGATTTATCCGTCTGGGTGTGTGGTACAACTTCTTCCGGGCCTGGAATGGAGGCTTCTCTGGAAACCTGGAAGGCGAAGGCTTCATCCTTGGGGGAGTTTTTGTGGTGGGATCAGGAAAGCAGGTAAATTCTTAGTGTTTACTTGTGAGTCTGTGAGTGTCTGTCGTGGAGCTGGTTGGGAGGGGTCGACTTTTCCTATTGGGGTCTCTCAGCCTTTCTTTTAGAAATCCAGAGAACTTGAGGAAGGGAAGGGAGGGAAAGAAAAAAACAGACATAATTAGGGGAAGTGGCAAGGAGGCATAGGAGGGAGACCGTGCTTTTCCCTGTGGGGGGCTTGGTATCAGGGCTGGCTTCGGAGAGGTTCGGAGATTCCTCTGTGGACAGGCTATTGTGGGCCGAGGTTATGAGACTCCAGAGTCAGCATGGGGACCCCAAGGGAGGGTGTGGAAAGGAGAGATGAGGTCTCTGTGGGCCTCAGAGACAGGTGGGTGGGTGCCCCATGTTGACTGTGGGCAGCCTCGAGCTGTGGTTACTTGACTGCCCTGGAAGGCAGTGCCAGCAGAAGCTGGTGGGTGCAGACAGGTCACAGGAGGAGGACCTGGAGACTGGCGTCCTGACTTCTAGGCCTTTCTCTGCCAATCTTGTGTATGACATTAACAAGTGTAGAAAGTGTTTTCTTTCTATAGAAAGACAGGGTTAGTCTGCATTGTTAGATCTCACTAATGTTGATAATTGCATACTTTTCCCAATTTGGAAGAAATTAAAGCAGGAATAGAAATCCTTGGGTTTTAAGCTTTATTTCTGATCTCTTCCTTTTACGCCTTGGTAACTGTGCCCTTGCTTGTCTGTATTAGAATTTATCATAAAATAGTGTCTGATCTAACATAAACCCATTTGCTAATTTTCTGATAAATATTCCAAAATGTCTTAGTGATAATGGCTGCCAATGAGTGCCTGCCTTGTTCCAGGTGCTCATAACACACGATCTCACATCTTCCTCACAACCAGTCTGTATATTAGGTACTTTTATTTCCATCTACATGTAAGGAAATGGGCCTAGAGGTATGAAATAACTCAGCAAAAGACATAGTAAGTGGTACAACAAAATGAAACCCAGAAACTCAGGTGTATCCAGCTCCAGAGGCCCTGCCCTGCCCCTGCACATGGTCTCTCTGGAGGTGGTTCCCACCGACCACTTCCAGATGTCCTTGCACTCGGACAGGCCACTTCCCCCAGAAGGTTTCCCATCCTCTTCCCACTCTGGACTGGGGTTCCTTACCCCTTCCCGCGTCTGCCTCCCTGTGGCCTCCAGGGCAGGGCTTGGCGCAGCTGCCAGCCTTTTCTTGCCTGGTGGTGACTCATCTGGTGCTCATGGGCCCTGCTGGCGTGTTCCAGGTGTTGCTAGGTGTGTCGTTTGACTTTGTTGGTATGCCCTGGACTTCCTGGCCTTCATCCTCCCTGGTGGAAGGTCAATTGGGCTGGCCGAGCTTCAGGACTTACCTCAGTTCTTCTTGGGAATAGTTCCACTATGCCAGGTGCCACTCAGTGGGGATTTCCTTTGTAACAAATAATATTCTTTAAAGAAGTAGCTTGTGTGCCCTATAGAAAATTTGAAAACAGCAGAACAGTAGAAGGTAGGCAGAGACATCCTGTGAACTCAATCACCACCGACAACCGGTTGGAACAGAACTGAGTGGCCTTTTGTTTTGTTATATTTTAGAAAGTGGTGTCTTATTAAACTAAATGTTCTTTTTTCATTCAACAATGTCTCATGAACATTTGCCCACATCCTTGTATATTCTTCCTCATTTTTTTTAAATGTCTAAGCTATGCTTTATTGAGCAAGTAAATATAATTCCTGATATTCTCTGTAGTCACCACAGTGTGGTGGGAATTTTTATTTTTTTTAAGTCTTTATAAATAGTAACACAATATATTTACAGATTTTTTAAAATTTGAAATGAGTTCCCAGATGTAATGTGTCAAACAACTCTTTAATAAGGATTCCTTTATGCTGATATCAAACACGTTATTTTATCTTTTTTTTACCACTGTAGGGTAACTTTGGGGTATCCTCAGTCTTGGTGCATTTCTCTTCACAGTATCAGAAATGAGTAGCCTCCAGTTTCTTAGGAGGACTAAAGGAAAGATGGGGTCTGCCTTTTCAGATGGTCATTCAGCACCTGCCAAAGTCTGACCTCTGAGCTGCACTTCCATAACTACAGGCTTTTCTGTGTTAGCTTCATTCTGTTTTCATCACCTAGGATGTTCTTTTACTTGCATTTCTACCTGTAAACATCCTTGTTACCTTTTATGCTCTATCTTCTGTGAAGCCTTCCCTGATGGCCCTTGTCATAATTAATCACTCCTGACTCCTAGCTCCCAAAGTGTTGCTTATACAATCCAAATATTATGATGTGGCCTTCCTAGTCTACCTTCCCCAAAAGATTCAACTCAAAGACAGGAACCAGGCCTGATTCATATCCATGTTTTCTGCTGTCCAAGCTCAGGGCTTGGCAGACAGCTGGCGCTCAGTGTGTCTCATGAATGAACAACTCAGAATGAGAACTGACGTTTCCTCTTCTTTCCTTTTAGGGCATTCTGCTCGAGCACCGAGAAAAAGAATTTGGAGACAAAGTAAACCCACTTTCTGTTCTGGAAGCTGCTAGGAAGATCAAACCACAGACTTTGGCCTCAGAGAAAAAAATGACCATGTGAAACTGCCCAGCTCAAGGATAACCAGGGCACTCACCTGTCTTTGTAGGATGTGTTGTTTCTGCTTGTGTCTCCAAGGAGTTAGAAACCCACTTATAGCATATTCTCAGTATGGATTATTAACATATTTTAATATTGTATTCTCTTTAGTCCCAGCAAGGCAAAATAGCTTAAAAACAAGACTGACAAAAACCTAAAAATCTAGTGAGGATTATTTTAGCTAAAACCTGAAAAATACAAGGTTTAAAGTTGACCACTGCATTTCGTTACAATTGTTTATGGTATTTGACTGCTGTTATTTGAAATTATTTTTATTTTTATGTCTTCAGAAAGTTGGTGATTGACTTGAAGATTAGAGAATGTAAGATTTTTGGCTTGTATGTTTTCTATTAGTAACTTGTTATATAATGTCATTCTCAAATTGATATGTTCTGGGATGGTTGGATAAAGGCAAATTATAAAGTGAATCTCTTGTCTCAATGTCCTCCATTCTAATCTCAGAAATTGTTTTTCTAGAAGAAATGATGACCTCTGGCTCTAATAAAATTGTGCATCAGAAGTTACCTGTATACACAAGTTTTTCTGATAAAACTAATAAAAATATTTATCGTAATGAGGCTGAAAGTGAAAAATCGGTATTCTCCATTGGTATGGGATTGATGGGGGGACTCTTCTAGTTCTAGTGATCTGAGAGGTTTGAAAATGACCAGAAAAATTTAATCTCATCATTCATGTTAGTGATTTTGCTGTCTTTCCTGGGGAAATGATTTTGGTATTTCAAAGTGATATTTGCTTTCCTATTGGTCTTTTAGCATAATTTGATAAATCAGGAGGAGAAGAGACATAGAATGAAATATAACTTAGTTCATTGATTTGTTACATTTGAATTTTGTCATGTGAGTAATATGAGGCCAGCAAGAGCTGTGAGGGGAGCTGTGCCCAGGGAAGTCTGTTCAAGACACCAAATTGGCCCAGAAGTGGAAAGGTGTGGGTGGAAATTGGGAGAAGGGTATTTATCCAGGGGACCAGCCCAGCCAGGAGGAAGGGAGTCATTGTTTATCCAGGAAAGCAAGAATGGAGACTGAGGCTGGAAGTCAAGCTGGGAAGGTGGAAGAGCATCGGAATTGAGTATGCAGAATGAGAAGGGAGGAGTGGTTCAGGACCGAGGTGGCGCCTGGGTCTAACTTCAAGTGGTGGTGACTGAAAGAAAGTGAGCCGAGATGCCGGGTACCATTCAAGCTCTATTAAAGAAAGAAATCTGCCAGGCTGTACTCAAAATGGAGGACAGCCCAGGGCTGCCCTGAAAATGGTGGACAGCACCAGGTGTGGGGGTGGTAGAGCTTATATGGTATGTTGGCGCCAAGAGCTGGTGATGGAATTCCGGGGTGGGGATTGAGTTAGGTCACGGGAATGGAGAGTTCTGAGCATGCGGGGATGCCGAAAGTTTCATTTTCTTTGAAACCATGAGGCTTCTTGTAAGAGAGAATGGTGGAGGGGAGGGGAGGAGGTGGGTGGTGCCATTTTGTACTTGGGCTTATCTAAGATGGCGCTGGTTATGTTGCAGATCTATTATTCCTGCCTTTTGAGTATAAGAAGGGAAAAGGAGCGAAGGTCTCATTCTTCTGAAGCTACTTCCTGCTGGAGATGGGCGAAGAGAAGATATGAAAAAAATAAGAGATTTATGTTGGCAGGTAAAACAATTAGGTGGTGGGGTATTGGTTTCGTGTGGGGAGGCTGTATTCTTCCAGGGAAGGGTCGCTGATCCTGAGGGGATATCCTCCTCGCAGGAACAATTTGGCGACCTCTTGGTTGGTGAAAGCCTGCATACGTTCCTGCAAGAAATTAGAGAAACACCAAAAGAGGGACCAAAAAGTAGGATTAGGCACAGTTAGGGGTCCTGGTAGGGGCATAGGCCAGGGTGTCCAAGGGTTCAGTGAAATGGTTTAAGTTGTTTTGGATCAGCCCGGACTCATTTGCGTAATAACAGCATTCCTCCCCAAGGAGAGGCAGGTGCCTTCCTTCTCGGCTGTAAGGAAGCAAAGGACCTGACAGTTCTGTAAAGCGACTGTCGCGAGTGAGGTGACCTGTCGCTGGAGGGAGGAGGTGCTGTCTGTACTTAGTTCTTCTGAGAGTTTTTGATAGAATTGAGAGGCAGTGTTAGGGCCCGCTATGCCAGTCCCAGTTGCAGGACGGATCCCTGCCCCAATTAAAAGGTTCAGTTAGTGCCCTACGGGAGCGGGGGCAATTCCTGAGGGGGGGACGAAGTTAGTCCCAGTCCCGTCTCCGTCTCTCCATCTGTCTGGAGGGTGATGTCAGGGACGAGCCAAAGAATATGCAGGGGCAGGCAGCAGGATAACGTAGTTTTACAAAGGAGATACATTCCAGTTTTAGGGCATGGATGAGGAGGGGTAAGTGAGTGGTGGCGTTTGGTGTCAGTGAGGCAGAGTGTGGGCAGGCCCCGCACAGCGCTGACAGTCCCCGCTGAGGTGAGATTAGAGGAAAGTGCAGAGATGTGTGGAAACATTGCGGGCTGCATCGACGAGGGGGTGACCATAAAAAGTTTCTCGTGAAGTGGGAGACAGATGAGTCACTCAGGGACCAGTCTGATTCCCTGAGGACTGCATCGTCCCTGCGGACCTGGAACCTCCATGTTCCAGGTAAGGGGGAGCATTGAGATAAGAGGAAACACATGGGAAGGATGCAAAGGGTTAGGAGCCAAAAGAATTTAAGGGCACATTGCCACGATGAACTTGCTAAGAGGCATCCTACCGATAGGAGGTAAAGGAGGCCAGGAGAAATCTTCCTACAATGTCACACTGCTCTGGGGCAGCACTGGCCAATCCTGTAGCAGGTACTAGGACAGGTAGTATAATAAAGGTTAGGGACACAGGGTGGCATATGCTTACCATGTCCCATGATGGCAAACCCATGACAGCAGGTCAGGACCAGCCTTGGAGCAGCTCCTGTGTGAAGGACGTGGAGCGGCCTGCAGGAGTGAGAGGATGATCACCGGGGGGAAGATCATCCTTCTTCTGGGATTTGGGGGAAGAGCGAGGTCCTGGACAACTTTGTGGGTCCTAAAATGGACAAGATGTAAGGAGATGTTGGGTTGGGGTTCAGCAGAGGGACCCCTCTGGCTTGGTGTTAACAGATTCTTTGGGTAAGGTCTCGGGTGCCAGTTTTACCAAGGATAAGTGATCCCAAGGGGCCATTCCTAGTACCTTTACTGCCGTGGGGGTGGTGAGAAGTGCTGTGTAAGGCCCTTCCCAGCATGGCGAGAAGGGCTTTGGGATTTGGGTTTTACTGTACACTTGCTGTCCCAGGCTCAGGTTAAAGTCTGAGGGGGTGGTGGGGAAAGGATGAGGTAATAGAAGGTTGGCCTGTTCCCTAAGAAGATCCCTAATGAGTGAAAGAGTAGGGAGATACTGATCTAAAGGCCATGAGCTGAAGGGAGAGGTGTGAGAGTGAAGGGCCTACTGTACATAAGTTCGAGGGGGCTGAGGCCTGTGTGCTTTCAGGGGGCAGCCCGTAGGCGAGTGAGTGACTGGTGGGGAGGCCAAAACTAGGAATGATTTCTTAGGTGAGAGCATGAGTTACTGCTGTAGCGTCCTCTGAAGTGCAGGGAAAAGCCTCAATCCAACCTGAAAAGGTATCTACTAAGGTTAGAAGATAGCGTGTCCTTTTGTGGGGAGAGTAATATAAGGGCTGAAGAAGGCGTATTAAGAGTTCATAGCCTATATGAACTGAATTATGGAAATCTAAAAGGATTTGCTCAGCTTGTGTAGTAGGGAGGACATAGCAACTGGAAAGAGTATACCAGTTGTCCTTTCTGTGTGCCCCCAACCATTGGAAGTGTTGTATTTCTTGGGGGGTGTATTGGGGTGAGAGCATGGGGGCCATGAGAAGGACCTGAGCAGGAGAGGAAGAGTGGGGGCCTGGCGATTGAGCAGCCTGTTTTGCGGTTAGATCTGCCAGTTTGTGTCCCTGGGCTATGGGGTCGTTGGAGGTTTGGTGTCCTCTGCAGTGTATAACCCCAACCTCCTTTGGGAGTTGTGCAGCCTCAATAGCTTGTGTTAGATGTACTATGGCATAACTTGCCCAGGAGGCAGGCATGGAGGTGGCACTCCCATCTATGAACCATGTAATGGGATGCAGGGAGATGTGTGGAAAGGGACTGAGAAAGAGGTCTAAGCCTCCATGCAATTGTGTTCTAAGGGTCATGAGTGTTTTGGGATGAGAGTGGCTGGATTTTAAGGGAGGGCAAGGTTTGAAGGAAAACTAGGAATTCTCAATGAAAGTAAGGTGAATAAGTTGTAGGCGGGAAAGGGAGAGAATTGACTTGGCCTTATGGCTCAGAAAGTCTTGACTGTTGTCTAAAAGTTAGTTTAGAGCTTTCTTATGCTAAAAGGGTGGCTGCCGCCAAGGCCTGTAAACACGGGCCCATTCTTGAGCTCTGGCGTCTAGTTGTTTAGAGAGGTTTGTAACTGGAGAGAAAATATCTCCTGCCTTTTGTCCCAACTGCCTGACTGCCAATCTTTGGGTTTTCGTGACGTATGGGATGAAAGGATGAGACAGGTTTGAGAGAGAGAGAGCTGGGGCTGCGAGCAGAGCGGCTTTTAATTGCTGGAAGGGAGAATGAATGGGCTTTGTGGGATCTAAAGGGATGGCAGGATCCCCTTTGGCTGCCCCATAAAGTGGTTTTGCTAGCACACCAAAGTTAGGAATCCATAGGAGCAGATACCCTGCAAGCCCCAAGAAAGGAAGGATTTCACCCTTTGTGGTAGGAGTAGGGAGTTCAGAAATTAGACTCCTGAACTGAAGGAGAAGACATCTGGGCCTTGCTGGGGGACACTCGACCTCCCCTGGAGGCCAGGAAATTAAGGAGGCAACAATGTGGGCCTGTGAATCCTCATAGGAGGGGCTACACAGGAGGAGGTCATCCACATATTGTATTAAAGTGCTAGAGTTTGGGGGAAGTTCAGACAAGTCTTGAGCTGAGGCCTGGCCGGAAAGTGGGGGCTACCCTGAAACCCCTGAGGTAGTACCGCACAAGTAATTTGTTGGGAATGGTGCATGTCAGGATTAGTCCTGCACTAAATGGTATGAGCCATTAGGCTTTATAACCAGAGGGTGGGTGTATTGAAAGGTGAGCAGGTGCCTAAGAGATGAGAAGAAAGGAGTTTGTGTATGACGGGTTTAAGCCTATTAGGTGTTTGTTAGCGATGGGGTACTGTGGGACATTAGGGAACAAGGAGGAGTTCCACAATTTAACAAGGATAGGGGAATGGTGCATAGCAATTGAGGGAGAAGAAGCGTCCCATACTAGGGATTAACCTTGTCTGAGGGGGAGGGGAAGGTGGAAGCCTCAGGGGCCAGGTCTGGGCAGCCTGTAACAGGGGTATTGTAGCTGGAGTTAAAGTGCTTAGGGTAGGAGTAGCTTTGAATTTGAAAAGAATGTCCTATCCCAGTAGGGGGACGGGCATTGAGGCATTATTAAGAATTTGTATGTGAATTGCGTGTGATGTAGGGTGCAGGAAAGGGGTTGAGTGATCCGTGGGTGGTGTTCTGATCCTGTGACCCCTACTGTTGTGATAGAGGACGGGGTTGTTGGTCCTGCATATTCAGGAAGCGT